CTCAACTTTTAAGAGGTTCAGACCTCAAGGTCTCCTCCCCCTTCCTGGAATATCTAGAATCCACTTAGGAGAAAGAATTACGAGGAGAGGCCAGGTATCTGAGGTTTCCAAACTACTCTGCCTACAGAGAAGGCGATAGGCAGGCCCCCCCAAGCAAATGAAGGGCAGAGCAGAAACCCAGGAGGCAGTGGTCACAGCCAGTACCCACAAAGTCCCAGCTCCTGGTCAGCTGCTGTGTCACTCTTACATGGGACAGACATGGCTGCCCCTTAAACCCTACTCTCCGGTCCAAATCCAGATAGTACTCTTGACTATCTGGTCCCTAAGGGAACATCCCTTTGTAATAACAAAGCAGTCTTGCAAGCGGGGAGCAGAGGCAGATCCCAAGAGGAACCCTAGTGTAGAGAAACCTGCTCAGAGACCACTCCAGGAACATTTCATTTGAAGCCCTCACCCTGCTCCTCCCTCAGGAATCCATGATGGAAGTGCCCTCCACCTTCGGGGGTCTCCAGCTCTGCAGGGCCAGTGTGTGATCAGACAGGGGCGATACCAGTCCTGAGAACACCTCCCTCCAAGGTAGGGGTTTTCATTCTCCTATCTGTATTAAGTGGAAGGCCACTCTCAGGTGTCCTGAGCCTGAAACCCAGGAAGCTCTCATTCCTGGCCTGGCTCCTACACCCCTGCACTTGGTGTAGCCTCCCCTGTGTCATCCCAGCCTGTTGCCCGCCCCGCCTTCCCACATGGCCCTCTGGCCTCTCACTGTTGAGCAAGCCTGCTTGCTCCTTGGGTCTCTGGGTTCAGACAGTACCCCTATCCCTGTGTCCTACCCCCAGCTCCGCTTGCTCACCCCTCATATCTAAAATTTCAGGTATGACCAGCAGTTGCCATTTCCTGGCATGGGCCTGCTACCTACATGCTTTCCCTGGAGCCTCACTCCCAAAACCTTGGGGCCAGTGCTTGTCCTCACATGGTGCTCTGTATCTAGTTCGCTTCTCTTCCTGTGGGAAATAGTCCTGCTCTGCCCCACCTGGGTGTGATCCCCTCTGCTATGGCGCAGAGAGGAGTTGGTCCTCTAGCCTTTGTGCTTCCATCCCAGAGCACTCGGCTCCCTGGGGGACGTTGGCCAACCCCAAGGAGAGGGAAGCCCATAGTCCCCTCCAGAGGCATGTACCTGGTCTCAGTGACCTCCAAAACCAGGAGGCCTCAGGAGGACACTGCATATTTTGATGTTGTGGAGACCCTTTGCCCAGCACCCTTTCTGGTTGACCAGGTCCACTCCCCACAATCTTCTGCCCCAGTGAACCAGGGTGGAACACCCAGCCCCCTTGACAAGACCTGGCTTAGAGAGAGCTTCACCTCACGGTCCAAGGATCCCATTGCTATAGGGATCCGGGCGTTGGCTCCCCTCCATGCTACAGCCAGAGAAACCTCTCAGTACAGCTTTGTTGTCAGATCAGGGTTTGGATTTCAGGCCCAGGTGGAGCGTACCTCATGCTATGCCTACTTTTCTGTTTCCAGCCCTGCCACAGACAAGCTGCTGGGAGAGGGCTTGTTGAAAGAAGAGTCTTGGCCCTCCCCATGACCAGCTCAGTCACGTCCACCGTGCTACCCCCTGGTAAAGCAGAGCCATGTAGGTCCCAGCCTCTCCTATGGGCACACCTAAGCACTATCCTCTTTTTCCCATTTTTCCCCTCAAAAGACCTTGACAACTTTATAGGTACCTCCTCTGCCATCTATCCCCCAACTATCCCCACCTGGTCAGCACCATCTTGTTTCCTGCCCTTAGGAGTTGGGAGGGTCACCCACCCTGCCTTCTTTCCTGCCCAATGAGTACAGAAGACCCTCCTGGCTCCACACCAGCTGGGCCTCCCTGCTCATTCCCAGACCGGTCCACTCAGGCCTGAGGCCTTTTCAGCTGGGGCCTCAGGCTTCAGGTAGGATCTGGGTTCCTGGGCAGGCCCAGCAAAGGGGTTTAAATTTACACAGCCCCAACCTAGACTTGCTTCAAAACATGCCCTTTTTAAAGGAACTGCTCTCATCCTGACTTTGTTTCCATTCCCTCTGAAGTGTGATTTTTTAAAATTCATTCAACTTAACAGTCTCTCCTGGTAAGAACCAGCATGTTAGGAGTTCCCCTGTCTCCTCCTTGTGGCATCGGTGCCCAGAGGACACTCTTATCCTCCAGTGATGGGTAGCAAGATGCTCCACGCATGGCCCCTTCTGCTGTCCCCTGCCACCATGTCAAGAAGGCCATCAGACCTAGCCAAGACCACATGCCTTTGTCCTCCACTGCAGATTGTACAGGCAGGCAGGACTCAGCATCACCCTCTTGGCTTGGTTGAGACACAGAGATCCCCCCAGGGGCCAGTCTGTTCTCTCTGTTGCTCTGCTGACTGGTCCCACCTCAGCTCTCTTGGCCCTGCTGCCCCTCTCTCCAGCCCCTCCCCTTGACACAAATTCCTCCCCCGCACACAGGTGTGGGGTTCTTAATGATCTACCAGACAGCTCCTTCCCTCACCCACCCACCAGCCATGGGAGGCCTGCTTTCTGTCTAAATTTGCCACACTCCCATTGCCATGCCACTGCACTGACCCGTCCTGCAGCCAAGCCAGTGTTGTCCCTCTCTGCTTCTTTCTTAGCCCACCACAGTTTACAAGGCCTGTCAAAAGCCACAGCATGGAGCACTGAGGCCCATGGTGCCTCCCACTCATATCTGCCTGAGGGCCCCCCGCCACCCCAGTGCCCCTGCAAGCTTCTCACTATCCCCTCTGATGGGCCTATTATTACCATTTCCGTCCTCATGCCCTGCTCTGTGACTCATCAAAACCCTGGGATTTCTCTGAAAGGAAGCCTAGGGACTATGGGAAACACTGCTTTCTCAAACAAAAGCCAAGCATTCAAGATGTGACCTCTTCAAGACTTAAGGGAGCCAGCCTGGCTCCTCGAGTCTCAGCTGGCTGGCAGTGCTTCTTTGTTCTGGATGGTGCCACCCTTCCCCAGAAGCTTCGAGGCTGGATCCAGGGCCTCATGAGCTCCAAACAGTCTTGTTTTCAAGGTGCTGAACATGAGATCTTAATGCTTCACAGGGCCATCTCCAGGGAGGCGCCCGCGGTATGACAACCGCATACACTGGGGGTGCTTGCTCTAAGGGGCCCTGGGCTCTGGCAAGAAGGGCTTCCAGGGGAATTAGGTTTCCAGCTTGAATAACACATTTTTAGGAAGCAGCTTAAAGCACTGTCCAACCTTGTGCTTCAGAGCATGTTGAGAGGTACTGCACAGGACGTGGCCTGGAGTCTGCCCGTCCTCAGCTGGTACTCCATGCCGGAACTAATTTTCCCACTTCAAAGGATTTAAAACTCAACATCACAGCAAAGCCTGTTAGTTGTCCCTTGATATTTGTCTTCCCCCACTTCCACAAATCAATGAGAACACAGCCAGCCAGGGTCACAACTACACTTCCCAGCCCCTCACGATGAAATGTGGCTACACCACTGAACTTTGGCCAACAGTGTGCAAGAGGAGATGACACTTGCAAATTCAGGAAAGAATCCTGCAAGAGAAGCAGTGGGAGCCTCTTCCTCCCATTCTCCTACCTAATAGTTAGAATGAGGATGTGAGGGCCGGAGGTCAAGCAGCTATATTGAACCATGAAGTAAAAGCCTTGTGTTGAGGATGGTAGAGCAACAAGATAAATCGCTGGTGATTATGGAACCACCTGAACAGCTTTGGGCTGCCTACCCGAACACTTTATTCATTTAAGGGAGAAGCAAATATGTACCTTAGTTAAGCCACTGCTGTTTGGAGTTTCTGTCTCTCTCAACTAAACCCAAGCTTATCAGTGACAGGCCACATGGTGCAGCCACTGAAGATGGTATTCCTGCCAAGGGAACACAACTGGAGGCTGCAGCCCAGTTGACACTTCCATTCCGCCAACTGCTAGGGATGTTCAGCTTCAAGACTGCCCACCTGCTTCTGCTGGAGTCATACACACATGGACATGTGACGATGCAGAATGGAAAGGGTTTTTTTTCTATATACTCTTTTGTGCCTTTTGAATTTTGAAATGTGAATGAACTGCCTATTCAAACATAGATGGCTGAAAATAAAAACAAAAGCAAAATGGGAAATAAATGCTAAATTCATGACAGCGATTTTCTCAGAATTCTAAGAGCAGGGAGAGGGTGGGACTCAGGCTGGAGTAACATTTTACATGTTATAGCTAAACAACAAGGCAAAAAGAAGAATAACAACTGTCATTTCTGGGTGGTGAATCCATGAGGGTTCATCATGTAATTCTTTGTACTCCTCTGTGTGGTTTTATGTTTCTCAAAATTAAAAGCCTGCATGTGAGGCAGTGTAGAAGCTCAGGCTACAAACCAGGCTTTAGGCTCCTAAACAAGAAGGGACCCAGCCAGACAGCCAGGCCCAAGAACTCCCAGGCTGAGATGTGGGGCAGAGGGACATCTTCGCCTCACATTCTTCTAAGCATTCATTTTGTGTCATTTCGCTGGTTGAAACCTAGAGTAATAATGCCGTTCCCCAGTGTGGGCCCGGCCACTCTCACACAGTCATTGTCCCTGTCACTAGAGTCCCAAGTGTAGATAAAAATCCAGGTTCTGCATTTGGCCTCTCTTGCCACCCATAGCGGGCTTATAACTGCCAGTGGGGAAAAAAGTCCTGGCTCCCTA